AGAATATTCCTGAAGCTACTTGAAGTGCCCTCTGGAGACCCCCCGAACTGCAAATTTGAGAATAAATTCATAGGTGATTTCTTGCTGATGGAGGTTTATTATCTACAGTTCTTGCGTAATTATATAGAGATTTTCAAGAGCCCTTAGGGATTCACCCAAAATACGAAGACGACCCTGCTACTCTCACTTGGACTAGAAAATCGCTCAAAGCTCATCAATTTAATCTTAACACAAGACAGGATGCTCTTCGGTAGATTCCCAATAGAAGTATAATTAAATAATTATATGTATATATTTATAACATGGGGTGCTACTGGTGCAGGGTCTCCACGTGATGTGTCACTTCCGATCTGTGGGGGAGGGGCACCCGGATTCATGTACCGCACGGTGTCCGAGTGACCTACATGCCAAATAATGTTGGGCATGATACTCGTGTCTGGTGATGTCTGTTGAGTGCATGGCCATGGTTTCCGGACACAAGCCACCAACATCCTTACCACCGCCTCTTAGACCACCATGGCGGAGGGATTCCCGGAGGGTTCACACTCCATTGCCACAGATAGCCACGGGTCAATTGCCATTGGAGGGCCCGCCTCTGGATGTGGGGAGATAAGGGCGGACCCCACAAAATCAAGGTTTCTTCCGTCATCGTGGGCTCGGCAGACTCAGTGTCTGCGCTGCGGGCCCGGAGTTTTGTCGGTTCCGATGTGGGACAGGGATGGGTGTTAGGGGGTCGGACAATGCGGGAAACAGCACTGCCACCCTCCTGTCAGGAAGACGGCAGAGCGCCCTCGGGGAGGATGCCTCCGGGAAGCCTATTCACTAGCTATATTCCCAGTGACGCCTATTCACTAGATACTGCCCAATGATACCTATCCAATAGCTACTGTCCGATGACGGGTTCGTGCAGCACTGCTGCACGATAACTGACTGTAATCATGCGCCGACATTCCCATCTTTTATCGGCTGCGACTGTCGGATTACATCATGATGACCCACGACCAACCGTTGGCTTGCTTGCTGGTCCCGCCTGGGGCCCCCTACCGCCTGGGGTCCGACACCACCTGGTCCCTACCGCCTGGGGACTAAGCCCCCGATGGCTGCGGCATCAGCGGATGGTCCTCGCGCAATCACTCCCAGCCGCGTGCATACACCGACACAAACCCCCCATACTCCGACCCCGTCTTTTCTTTTGGTTGCAGTCAGTCTTTTCTTTTGCAGACACGGACCACGCTATATAAGGCAGCCATTTTCCCACTCCTGACCGCCACTACCTCACATCAAAATGGATTATTCCTACGACAACGTAGTCCCAAACTTCAGATTGGACGGCAGATTGGCCATCCTCACAGGCGGCTCTGGCGGCTTGGCCCAGGTCATCTCCAGAGCCCTCCTCGCTCAAGGAGCCGACGTGGCGCTTATCGACATGAACTTGGAGAGGACCCAGAACGCCGCCAAAGAGTTGTTGGCGTGGGGCCACGACACCTTGAAGGGCAAGCACGAGTCGCCTGTGGGACAGGTGTCGGCGTGGGCGTGCAACATCGGAGACGCTGAGTCGGTAGAGGCCACATTCACCTCCATCAACGAGCACCACAACAACATTGCCGACTTGTTGATCAACAGTGCTGGTTATTGCGAGAACTTCCCAGCCGAGGAGTACCCAGCCGCCAACGCCGAGGGCATCATGAGGGCCAACGGCTTGGGTGCGTTTTTCGTGTCGCAGTCGTTTGCTAGACCCTTGATTCAGAACAACAAAAAGGGCCTGATCATCTTGATCGGATCCATGTCTGGTACCATCGTCAACGACCCACAGCCCCAGGCCATGTACAACATGTCCAAGGCGGGTGTGATCCACTTGGTTCGTTCGTTGGCGTGCGAGTGGGCCAAGTACAACATCCGGGTCAACACTTTGTCTCCTGGTTACATTTTGACTCCGTTGACCAGAAACGTGATTTCGGGCCACAGCGAGATGAAAGAGGCCTGGGAGTCCAAGATTCCCCAGAAGAGGATGGCCGAGCCCAAGGAGTTTGTGGGCTCCATTCTCTACTTGGCCAGTGACACTGCTTCTTCCTACACCACCGGACACAACTTGGTGGTGGATGGAGGCTACGAATGCTGGTAATTCCGTGTATAATAGGTTAGAAATAAAATAATAAATAAAATAATAGGACGTTATTAAGAATGATCTGGCCTCCAGTTAGGGAATTAGCTCGTTTATGTCATGAATTGATTAAATAAGCTCCTTTCTGGATTGACTTGTATCGAAGTACTCTTCAACTTCAGCATTGAGCCACTGCCAGTCCGGTTTAGTGATGAATGGATTGTTGTAATTAATGCTAAATGAATATGTTGACCTCTCCGCCCCCCAGAGTATGCATTTCATGATATCAAATTGTATTGTTTCTCAAAGTACCAGCGTAATTTTGAATTTAGCCCTAGAATTACATCAAGTGGTCAACGTGAACTTTCTGGAGAACCAGCAATTGCATGAGCTCAAATAGGACCCTCTGGACTACCAGATGGCTGAATAAGTTAGCACTTGCGAGTACCAGAGTAAGGCTGTCATTAAAATGTAAAAATTATTCTTGCAAGCGGCCGGTTTCATGTTGAATTTAGCCTCCACCAACCTAGAATAGTAGAGAATGAATGTGATGGCCTTGTCATATTGTAGTGCTTCTTTATTTGCCCACTGGATTTGAACTTATTAAATTCTTATGTTAAATGAGCAACTGGGTGGATCCAAGTTCCACCTGAGAGTATGGATGACATGAATTGGTCATTGAGTGCTTCTTAATTTAGCCACCGGCCCAAAATAGTTAAAAAAGGATGTTCAAGGTTAATTGAATTCCCAGATATTGAATACATTGCCTTCTAAGGTTTCCAGACTGTGGCTGGCATCCGTTGGTTATTGTAATACTTCTAAAACTACTAGTTAGTTAATTTTAGCTTCTACGCTTCCCATATCATCTAATCGTTGGATCTTCACTACCAACTGGATGAACACATCACTGCTCGGCTGTGGATCTTGCTCTCGATATTTCCAGGCTCAGTCTACCTTTACTATGCTCTATTCCTAATAAGCCATTTCTTCCCTGATCTCAAAGCCCCGATTGCAACATCCTTACTAGCCAGATCCGTCCAGAGTCGCATAATACTTCAGATCAAACGGCACTAATGCTAGCGACCCCCAAAACCCCTGAAATACTCCGCTGGGTTGCTTCCGAAATCAGGTGCCTGCAGTAGCTTGTGTTAAGCGGAGGCTGGCTATTAATAGACCACACGGAGATAGTAATGCTAGTCATCACCTAGCCCAAAATGAACAAAAACCTCCGAGGGGAAGTGGGGGGAGGGCCACAATTTGACGGTGGAGAGGACGGCTGGTGATGACCACGCCGTGCCATTTACGAACATGACAAGAAAAGGTGATGTCCAAAAAACAATTTTTCAGCCAGTACTCCCAGGTCGGTGCCTGAAACCAGCCCAAAATAGGGGCAGCGGGGCAGCGGGGCCAACCACAGAGGGGGTAGGTGCCGGACGCTGGGGGGCGTGAATCATCGCTGGTACATGGCCAGGATTCCGTGCATATCTGGCGGATGGATCTTCATGCTCGGTTCTTTTTCCATCGGCATTATCTGTCGGATTTGGTAATCACAACACGACCGGATGCGGATGGATAATAGCCCCCAATTTCCACCAATTTGCCCGAAGGGGCAATAGTCTTATCAGCGAGCATGCCCATTTCACCTGTTGGGACCCAGTCAGGCCACTGAACGGGGCGTAGCTGGGGGAGGGGCCAGTGCCAGTTCCAGTGGACAGGTGCGGTTACGTAAGCGGGGATGGTCATTTCCCGTAGTTGATTTAGTCACCATCACCAACTGAAGAACGTTGATGGACTCTTGGCAAGAGAGGCTATTTTGGGAGGATGTTGACGTTGGAGAGAGGAAGTTACGTAATAGCACCTAATTTGCCACCAAACTGTAATTAACCATGGCCTTATCAGTGACTCATGGTAAAGCAATTTACAACCACCGTCATCTGTTTCAGGCCAGCAAAGGGGAATTGGAGGAACCCTGTTGGGACCCTCCTCTTTCCATAATTCTAACCATTTTACAAACATTTTACAAATTTTCACTAATTTCACCGTCTGGTCGGCAAGTCTTTGCTAACCTCTGCTGTTAGAGTGCCCTGGGAAGAGATAGCCAATGGAATCTTGCTCGCAGGCTGGAATAGGAAGGGCAACAGTAGGCAGCGCAATCTGCACCGCACCAATAAGGTATGGAGACAAGCACAGAAAACATGGAAGCTGAAGGTGAGTTACGAACCGAAGGATAATCAATGGACAGGTTGGGAGCGGGGACCCAGGGCATCGCTTCCGCATTGGGCAGGGCGATTTCCCAAAGCAGCGGAGGCAACCCTCGGTGCTATGAGATCGGCAGGCTTCCGGGGGTGGGAGCGCCGGCCGGAAGTGGCGTTATTTTCCCGGCAAAAGCAATTTTCTTGTCCCGCGGCCACTCTGTTTACCTTTTTTGTTGCCATGCTCGAAATAGCACCGGCGTCAGTGCCTTCCAGCTGCGGCACTCGCTCCCGGTTTCGAGAGTTTCTTTTGACGGTGGCGTGCCCAGTCTGGAACAACAATACGTCCTCTGCAAAATTTTCGAATATAAATTGAGCCCATTTCCTCCCCTTCTGGGATTTTCTTTCCTCATCAAATAATCCACTCGCTTCAAACATGCAATTCTCCAAGGTCGCCATCCCAGCTGTCTTAGCTGCCCTCGTTTCTGCCGGTAACGTCACTGTCACCACCGATGTCGTTGTCACTGACTTCGTCACCTACTGCCCAGAACCAACCCACTTGGTTATCAACAACAAGACCATCACCGTCACTGAAGCCACCACTTTGACTGTCACCGGTCCATGCACCATCCCAACCACCTACGTTACCTCCAAGGAACAACCAACCACCGCTGCCCCAGCTGTCTCCACCGCTAACGGTGCTGGTAAGGTCGCTGTCGGTGCCGTTGCCGGTGTCGCTGCCGTTGCTGCTCTCTTCTAAGTTGATATAATCTTATATCCTTTATAGAACAATACAACCTAATCTGCAGATTGTCTTGCTCTGTAGCTTCATTTCGTGTTGAACCATGTTTCTTCGGTTTGGGCCATGCCCTTTTACTGGTGTTCTGTTTAACTTCTTGAATATATTTATTTTCGCTTCAAGCTGTAGTCGACGCAAACGGTCTGACATGACAGAAGGAGGGATGTGTTGACACATCCGTGGCTCCTACTGGTGTCAGTTTGTTCCACACCGTGCTTTGGCGTCTTGCTTCAACACCTGTCACCCTGGGGGCTGGAGTTCATAGCCGGGCGTTGCCCAGGTAGTGTGGTGTCGTGAAACTGGCACCAGAGTTGTGTACGTGAGCAGACCAACACATAAGCGTGGTCATGTACAGGCCGCAATCTGGCGGCAGGTGATGCAGGCAGTATGCACCTGATCAGCACCTCCTATCTGACGGCAGTGGTGGAGGGAGTGGGCCTGGAGTTTTCCAGCCGTGGGCTTCCACGGCACTCGAGCCCACACGCGCAGGCCCAACTAACTCGTATCTAATGGGCTCATTAGCGAGCTACCCTGCTGGATCCGGAAGCCCTGCCTGGGTTTCGTGGATGGGGGGCGCGCTCCGCCCCCACCTGCAGGCGCTACATGAATCGACGCATTGGGCACCTGAACGCTAATATCAGGAAATATTTGTTGCGCCAATCGACCCGGCTACTGGATTTGACTTGGTGATTTGTAGGCCATACAATAGGATTGTTGACCTCCATCGAGTCAGGGAAAGATAACGATGAGGGGCCCAGATCCAGGTGGAATTCCAGAGGCTTAGTATGTTCACCTGTACCCCAGAAGTATGCATTCGATGGCGTACCAAATTGCGTGCTATACAGGCAGCTGGTGCCGGACTCTTCCCAGTAATAGGAGTCCCGATTGCGGGCAATCGCGCCCGCTTTGGGGACTGGCAATAGAGACCGCGCCAAGAAAATTAACTGCAGCCGGTTGTGGGCTCGGTGCGTACTGCACGCGAAACGGATTTGAGACTTTGAGTCCGGCGTCAGTTCCGAGGGTTACTGTCACTGGTCTTGTGAGCCTGTTGTACTTGTCCGATTACTCATTTGGGAGGCTCAGCTGGTTCCCGCAATCTGGTGGATATCTCGAGGGATGGGGGGCCACGAGGGGATGCTGGGCCACGAGGGGATGCTGGGTGTCTCGCGAGAGTGTGGTGGTATGGATGTTTCTGCCGGTTGTGCCGTCGCTTGCTTCAGGGACACTTACAGGGTCACCAGCAAGGATGCCAGGGACCGGCTATTGATAGCTGCGTGGAAGCCCGGGCCTTGGCATGCCCGGTGAGCGCATGGAGGATCGAGTCATGTGATCAAGAATATCGCTTACGTAATGATGATACCTAGCAGGCACGGCATATAAGAACAGTAACAATAAAACATGAGACGGAACAGCATCACCTGACGATCCGTAACCGTAACGAAGTAGAGCATGTGACGGCACAACATCAGCTGACGTAAGAGTCTTGACAATAATGATACCGAACCAATGTCGCGGGGCAACCATTTGCTGATAACAATAGAAATAACCACAACCAGCCAGAGCCCGACATCACATGTCAGTCCCAAACTATACGTAGTATGTTACGGTATTCCCAGTACCATCGTCTCTCTATTATTGGAAGTGTTTATTACCACAATTAGATATGAATTTAGCATTGAATCGGAACCAATTGCATTGTTAAGATATTTAGTATGCGTGAGAGACATTGGTTCGATCGAAAACCTTGTATTTACCTGGGGAGCTGACTGCTGCTATAAACTCCGTGCCAAGGCTTCCAGACTTGGTCACGGGATAACGGGCATATTCGTGGTTTCTTCAACCCAGTACTTTGATCTCAAGTAACATGTAACCTACCACATTGACCAGTTCCCTCACAATTACTAAGCATTGGAGTTAACTAGGTCAGTCGTGACTTGTTTCAAGACAACTTAAGTTTTCCTCACACACGTTCTTTTAATTTACGTTTTACTTAATTCTTGAATTACAAATATGAAATGTCCGTAAGGCTTATTCGATAATTATATTAAAAATCTTTCAAAATGTAGCCTCACCTTTCTTTTAGCTATTTTGATCGTTCCATTTTTTCAACAATAATTATCTGTTTTAACAGGACGACTCTTTGAAAATATTCAAATTTGTAGGTGAAAGCTTGATATTCCTGGAGCTTAGCAGACCTTCAAAAGTGATTCCATTCAACAGGACGATAGTCACTTGGGGAACGCTGCAATAGTAGCCTTACTTCCATACTATGGTCCACTAATAACGATAGTCTAATGTCCCGACATCACGTGTCGACTACAATCAAAATAATAATAACGATAATGAATTACGGAACTAATGTCGCCCGCCTCACGTGCAACCTACATCCATAATAGTAGTAATAATAACGATAATCAACAGCTAATGTACAGCAGGTCACCTGACCCAAGTCACCCGACCCGCTAGACGAGTCTCTCATAGAGTAAGATGTATGCATTTTTGATGTTCTCTTCCACGCCTCCGTTGAGCACCTCGTCCTCTGTCACTGACTTGAGCTGGGTGTCGTCGATCCGCATCCACTGGTGCCCTGTCTTGGTCTCAGCGTCCGCGTCGCTCTCGCGAAGCACGTCACTGGTGTAATGGCCTCCCTGGGCACTGCTGCCGTGATGATACACAACTCCAATCAACCTGTATTGGTTGTTCTCATCGCGCGGGTTCTTGCTGGAAATGATGTCCTTGGAGATGTGCAACAGGTGCAGGTATTCTACCTTCTTGCGGAGCTTCTCGATGCCCACATCCTTCTCCTTGAGGAACGAGAACCGCTTCAAGTGGATGATCAAAATGGAGGGCAACTTGTCCACGAAGGTCTGTTTCTTGATTTGGATCTCCTTGTTTTCCTTTGTTTTGTAGCTGATTTTTTCCCATTGGTTCAAGTGGAGGAGTGCCTCGTCGATGGACGACGCCTCGGAAATGTCCAACTGGACGTGCTGGTATGGGTCCAATGTGATGGACTTCAGGAACTGGGTGGCTCCTGGGTTCTTGGGAATCGTCAACACAGACTTGAACTGGCCCCCAAAGATCATGGTGATGGGCGTGGGCTCGATTTCCACCGTTCTCTTGACCGAGATCTTTTTGTTGTTGGAACCGACCTCGTTCCATTCGTCTGCATCCTCTGGGGTGGATGTAGAGTCTTCTTCGCTGGCAGAGGGCTCATTCTTGATCAATTTGACCGTGCTCTTAACATCGTACTTGAACCGTTCGATTTTCTCGACTTCTCCCGAGTTTTCGGTCGAAAATGCCTGGATCAAAGAGTCCACAGCAGGCGTGGTCAAACCCTTGATCGTTTGCAAGAACTCGTCGTTCAAGCCGTCCAAGTAGTAGCCCAAAAACTCCTCTGCGTCCTCCTGCTGCCCCCACTTCAAGTGCAGGAATTTCTCGTGCGAGATCAAGTTCATGTAGAAGTTTTCTGGTGACAACGAGGTGGTTTTGGCTGGTTCTTCACCAGTTTTGGTGACGAACTCGTTGAAGAACTGGAGAGTGGCATCAAGCAAGGGTGTTTTAGAAACCTTGCTCAACGAACCAATGGACTTGTCCTCGATCAACTTGAGCAACTTGTTGAAAGGCTGACAGTAGAGGAGCACCTGGAGAATCGAGTTCATGTAGCAGATATTGCCGGTGTTTGTCAAGCCACGAGGGTGTATCTTGAAGCCAGGCAAGCTGTTGTGCATGTGGATGACCGAGTAGTTAGGGTCGAACATGATTCTGAGGAGAAGTATTCCCAATGGCTGAACTGCCTCGTTCTTGATGTTGAACGAAGTGTCAGCAGAGCCATTGACAGCACACGCAGACAGAAGTGGACCAACTGAAGGGGTGGCAGATACTGGTGGAGCCACAGAGGTCGATGCAGAAGGCGTAGCAGCTTTTTTGGGCTCCTTCTTGACGGACGTGGTGGTGGATTGCAAGATAGAGGCCCAGTTGGTGGATGACGTGGAGGAGTCCGCGGTGGAGGACAGCAGGGCAGGCTCCGAGGACGCAGGCCTGATGTTTGTGACCACGGAGGAGTTGCTGTTGTGGTCGACGATCCTGATGTCGTTGGTGTGGATGGCAATCAAGTCGTGGGCGTTGAGCTGGGCCCACAGCAGATTGCTGGCGTGACTCCCGGAGGCCGATTGCAGCGATTTTGCCCGGGAGAAGTCCTCTTGGGTGGTATTAATGAAAAATGGATATGAAATAAAAGGCTCTATAGGTGTATGATCATTATTTTCGATGGAGGGAGGTGAGGGCGACGCAGAACGCGGTTCGTCAGCGACATGGGGTTCATTAGGTGATTCGTTGGTCTCGTTATTATTAGTAAGGTTGTCATGCGTGGGTTCTGTGCTTCGTACTGGCTCGTCCAGCTCGGGAGTATGGTCCTTTTCTGGCACGAAATTGGCCGCCAACTTGGGGTTGTACCGCTTGTAGTTCTTGGGTCGGTACGTGGGGCTGAACGGAACCGGTTGCGGCACCATGTACGGCTGGTTGCCGTAGTACATGTCCTGGTATACTGGCATGTACATCTGTGGGTATACCATCTGGTTAACCATCACCGGGAACTGGGGCGTGGCTGCTGCGTACTGCATGTACATCTGCTGCTGCTGCTGTTGCTGCTGCTGCTGAGGCGTGAGTTGTGAATGCTGGGGATGGTACTGGTGGTGGGGATGCTGCTGGTAGGCGAAATATGGCGGTTGGCCCGGCGAAAAGCTGGCCGCGTCTCCACGAAACCGGTTGGGACCACTGTTAGACGACGATGACGATGAAGTAGACATGAATAGCGTTCTAATTGGACATGAAGTGACTGATTCTGGCGCTTGGCGGCAAGCACTGGATACACACTGGGAGGGGGTGTTTTTGCGGCGGGAAAGGGGGTGCCAACAATGAACAAGATCACGGGGACGGGAGAGGGCCGTTGATGGGTGAAGGTGATCTAACGTTGCCGGATGCTAACGTTACGGATGTCTATGGTTGGCGGATTTGCTGTGGTGGAAATTTTTCTCATGGGACGGACGCTGGTGCGCACACGACCGGATGGGACTGGGAGGTTTGGGCAGGTGGTGGGAGGCGGTGGAGAGAAGGTGGAGGAGGTTGATGGGGGAGGGAGGAACGGGCCAGCTGCCACGTTCTGGCCCGAGTGGTGACGCCGGGAGGCAGGGCATATAGTGATTACGTAAGCTTCAGTGGCGGCAGCCACTGTGCAGGAGTGCCTTCTGTTGGGCCCGGAGCAGAACATTTTACGAGTGTGGGAGGTTATCTTGTGGTGTATCCAGAGAAGGCTACCTGGAAGGTGAGAGGGTACTTTTATGAATTATGTAGTAAAATTAGGGTATACGATAATTGTAAGAGGATAATTCAAAGGCGTAGTTTCCCTGGCTAATATATTTCGTGTGTCCTTTTCAGAGTCAATTGCCAGTGCATTTTTCATGAATCACAGAATATAGTTCAATCGAGAGAGGACTAGAAATTACGCTTTACTCCCAGGATTCACAACTCGGCCAAAGGGTATTTTTGATGTAAAGAATATAATTCAATTGATAAAAGGCTAGTAATTGTTACTTGATATTCACGAATGGTGTAACTTCCTGGCTTGATACATTCAATGTGACTCCTTCAGAGAGCAATTGCCAATGCATTTTTATCAATTGAATCTTGTAACTAAATTCGATGAAGGACTATCATTTGTAGTATACTCTTGCTCTCGAAGGGTGTTGAAGTTACTTTTAATTTCATTAATGAGGCTGCTTCAGTCCAAAGAATGAATTTTCCTGTAAATATAGGATTATTGTAACTACACTCTACAAGGCGTCTGTAGAAGAACGATATCTGAGAAATACCTGACATGAAATTTCATTCTTAAATTTCTCTTGTGTATTTCATTTTCCCTGGCTTGATATCTTCCATGAGGCTACCACATAATGCAATTGATAAACAGAAGTAAAAAAAATCTTTGACAATGGAATTCTGCAAATCGAGTGTTAAAGGTCTGAGTGCAACTCTATTCTGCAAAGGTATTTATTCGGCTTGACACTATCAATTAGTTTCCTTAGGAGTGCACAGCTGAAGAGTATTTTAACCTCCCAAATTTCACTCTGTAAATCGATCCATAAAACGCTTAATGCAACTATTATCTCAAATAGCTCTTATCCATTGCAGAAACCCTCAAATCATCTTCTGGGCTCAACTGCTTTGACATCGTAAATAAAACTAAGATAGGCATTTTTTGCATCATCAAGAATTTCAAGCAATCTGCATATTTTCAAGAATCCTTAGTCAACAAATTTTGAGCTTTGTCTATTTGCTGCTTTTTTTGCAAATCTCTCTTCTTTCATCATTCACAGCGATTTTGAGGCGATAATGTGTTAAAGCTGAATAATTATAGCGGTATTGACCTCCAGCTGTACGATGCGCAAAGATTATAGATACATCAAGCACACTGCAGTTCCAACGTATTCCAATTATTGATTAACGTACTCTACAAAGGTAGAAGTACTATACCAAATGTAAATATCTATCACGGCCCCTGGAGCTTTAAAAAAGACCAGAATGGCCGTAGTTGAATGAATAATTATTCAATTGAACAGAATGAATAAGTAAAAACACATAGTTTGGAGTTATGAATGTTTCCTCGAGTTTCTAGATTAGAATGACTCTAAGAGTGTGTAGTAAGGATGTTCAACTGTTTCTTTTCCTTCCAGGTAGAATTTAATTTAGTTCTACTTCTTTTTGCAATATCTCCAATTCCGACTAAATTCAGCAGTTGTATGCTATCTTAGACCTGAGCTACAAGGGAATAACAACAGCAACCATAAGTTATTATGCTTTTCTTTGAAGTCACGCCAATATTGTAAATCTGATCTAATATATGTATTAGTCATGCACGATTATTTATTAGAAGCTATTAAAGTAAATCATTAGGAAAATATAGGATAGTTTGATAGATCAACACCTATTTTTTACCAAATTTACAGGTTCACTGACTATCAATTTTTCTACAAGAATCTTATCCTGCTATACTTGAAATGTGTACTCAATTGACTTCAAGTATTCACATTTAGGATTACTCAAAGGGTGTGCTGGCGTACCGGACCCCAGGCACAATACACCGGTTATAGGTCACTATAAGGACCGCCAAAATATGAGCACAGAGTGGTGTAGCTTCTCCAATGCTCGAGGCCTGCTGAATTTTAGCCACCACATCGTTCGAAACAAATAGATGGTCATTCCCACCAAAGTTGTGTTCGCTCTCTAGATACCTGCTCTCGTCCACTTCATCCACATCCTGGGAGAAATCTGACGGATGGATGCCTGTGGTTATGTCATTAGCTGCAAAGTTCTCTGTGGGCTCGACGGATCGCTCTTTTTCGGAATTTCTGGGAACCACATAGCCTGTGTAGTACTCATCGCAGCCGCAAAACCACTTTCTCATGTCCACCAAGCGTCTTCCAGGACGCTGGTCAGAATTTTCTCCCTTGAAGGTGGCGAATACGGGTGCCGTTGTCCAGCCAAACGTATTGGCAAACGAGTCTATCACCTCATTGTTCTCGGGATGCTCCCTGCCCAGCCCGTATATAACTAGAAGCTCGAGCAGCAGAAATAGTTCGAGAGCCCTTGTATAGGTCTCACCGTACGCGAGTGTGAGTAGCACGCTTTTCTGTTCGTCTGGCCTGGCCAGGGACTCCAGGAAGAGTCCAGAGAGGAGAGACGGGAGGATGTACAACGGTCCCTTTTCCTCAAAAAGCAACAGAAGTTGGTCATCTGTATCTGTTTGTATCACACGCGTGTCGTTGGCGGGACTTTGAGGATTGGGGGACATCGGGTACGACTCCGTGTGGAGATCAAACTGGTGCAGTGGGAAGCTGAAGTTGATATTGGGTCGTGAGTAGGTCAATTTCTCTCGCGGTGCTGGCTCCCACCGGTAGCGAGACTGGCTCTCGCTAGCACTCGCACCTTTAGCCCATTCTTTGAGTGTTCCCGCACCATTCCTCGCTATTCTCATCCTACTCGTACCTTCGCTGCCACTAATCTCGCAGTCCCCTCCGCCAGCCCTCGCTAGTTTTCCGTGCCGCACCATATCGCTGGATCCATCCCACTAACAACAAACACCACCACCATGTCCTGGATCTCGTCCCTCCCCCCAGATCTCCAATCAAAGGTCCAAGCCTTGGTAGCTACTCACCCCGCCAGCTTGGATGTCTTACAGGGCCTCTGGGAGTACAAGGAGCAAAGAAAACGCAAAAAAAACATCGATGATCACCCTGGCCCAGTGCCAGATGCTGCCAAAACGTCCACTTCCGCCCCCTCCAGCGCTGCTGGAGCTGGAACCCCTGCCAAGTCGGCTGCTGGAGCCACAATAATCAAGCTTTCGGCACCAGTGGAGCCTTCCACTGTCATTTTCTCTCTCTCGCAAATGTCATTCCAGTCTCCTCTCAGAAAGAGAATGGACTTGACGTTCCACTTGGTGGAACTGGAGGGCCAGGCAGTTCCTGTGTTGTCTGTGGTCAACAAGCTGGTTGCAGAGCTTTCAATAGTCAACCTCGACCGTGCTATACGATTGTGTGTGCTAGTTCCCATCTTAGGTAACTCCAACACCTCCAAAAAGAACATTGTGTGCCTCAGCGTGTGGATCCACGGCCACAAGGACCCCATAGTATGCCAGCTCAACCTCGATCAGATCAAAAAGCAAATGGTTCAAGAAGGAAAGCTTCCTGAGAGCGTGCTTGATCAGCCAGACGAGGCGTCAGGCCTGCTGATTTCGTCGATCCACGAGCGCATCATCGACTACTTCCAACGTCAGTTCCGCTTATGCGGAATCAACCTCATCAACTACTTGCCATGCTCCACGTTGTTCAAGAACGAGGTGCTTTTGCACACCGACACCGCCATTTCGTTGCGATTGAACCTCCAGGGCCAGAAGCAGGGAGGCGGCCAGTTTGTGATGGTGGAAGCTCACAAGGGACTGAAGGACGGCTCGCTCTTGTTTCTCAGCGAAAACGACTTCCATGGTACCTACATAATTTTCGGTTTCAAAAAGCCCATTTTGGTTTACGAAATCGCCAACATCGTCAGCACTTCCTACAGCAGCATCACCAGGTTGACTTTCAGCTTGCTTCTCACCGTGGTGAAAAACGGGGTCGAAACGTCGGTGGAGTTTGGCATGATTGACCAGGAGTATTTCCAAGTGATCGACGACTTTATCAAAGCTCAGAGCATCAACGACAACTCCTACGACGATAGCCTTAAGGAGAAAACTAATTTGAAGAAGGAAAAGGAAGACAAGGACGAGAATCTCGCTCAGGTTGTCGCTGGCGGAGATGCAGATGCTGACGAGGACGAAGAGGACGACGATTATGAGGGAGGTGACGACAGCGACGCGGGAGAAGACTCTGACAGTGACGCGGAAAGTGGAGAGAGTGGAGACAGTGCAGACGAGAGCGATCCTGATAGCGCAGATGAGGGTGAGCAAGCATCAGAAGACGAAGAAGAAGAAGGGGAGGAGGAGGACGATGGGGTTTTCCACAAGAGCAAGGAGGAATAGCTGGAAAGATTAAAGAGAATGAGCTTTAGTGATCCCTTGGTTGGGGATGTTTTAAAGCCACTCGAATAAGACAACGATACTACGTAGCTGGAGGAATTTGCACAGTTCTTGGGCCAAATTCCACCAAAAGATCAGTGCATTATCCCCCTCAAGTGTATTGTGGACATTCTAGATTCGAACTAGTGGAGTGATCGGCTGATCTTCTGACTTCTGGACCCGTTTAGTCCGTCCTACGCAACCCAAGAAACACCCATACTTCTACAAAACTACCCAAAAACTACAAGAAACTCAATTAGGTGCTTTGGAGGCTATCCAAACCTTCACGAGCTTGCGCTTGCTAATCCATGTAATATTATTCGTGTATATAGGATAAATAGATGAGAGGACGACACCACATCCTCGTGTGTCGTAAACAGCCCTGGAGTCTGTCTCTGGTGTCTGCTGCTGGGTCATCCCGGCTCTGCCTGCGTTACCTGTCCGTTGGATCCATTGAACCGTGCTGTGCTCACTTGTAACTAGCACCAAATTTGTCCAATAACGAGAAGAATCTGCCTCTCTTGTCGGCAGTCCATCTGTGGTCTGGCTCGTCCTCGAACTCGTGGAAAGCAGCCTTCTTGGCTCTTTGCTCACGCAATATCGTCAATCTTCTTTCCAACAACTTTCTGTTATTTTCAACGTAGTGGTCTCCCACAAGATACCCTCCAACAAACACTCCTGTAGATAAAACATAGCCAGGAAGTCTGTCCCAAGATCTGGGGTAGGTCTTTCCCACGAGGAGAACTTGCAATCTTCTGGAGAGAAGACCAAGAGCGGAGCTGAACAAGAGGCCGGCGGCGGTAGGCATTTTGGGTGGTGGAGGGAAGTATTGGTTTGATTTTTATTGGGCGAAAAATTTGAGAGGATTGTCACGTGACTGGTGATAGTGGGAGGGTTTGGTGAAGTATGGGGTGGGTGGGTTGGGTGTGGTGTAGAGAGAGGGGTATGGAGTAGAGGGGGAGATAGTGCTGGGGATTGATCGTAGCAGTCGACTGGTTGGAGAAAGTGTACGGAAAAGACGACAATTGGGCACTTGCGCAGGGAGTTGAAGAAAGCTTTACGGCTAACTATAAAAAAATCCGTACTTGTGGAGACGGAAGAATGTTTACTGCAGTTAAGAATGCGTAATTTGTTCCCTAATACTTGTTGTCACGGGTGTATTCTCTTACAATGGTCTTCTGTTATAATTTCACCAGTGGGTATTTGTTGGTTCCTGTATATAAACCAATGGCCATGGTCGATAGAGGAAACATTCTTTTCAGCTCAGGATTCGAGTCCAAGCTATCTACTGGGCAAATGTGTTCCTCTGAGTAGCTTACAATGATCTTATCTGAAAATTTCACTTTTGATAATTATCCTATTTTTTTCACGAATTGAACAAATTTCAAAAAATTAAAGATATCACCGTTTAATTAATACAACCAAGCAATATCCCATCAACCTCCACAATTTATTTCTATCAAATGCAGGATAGCTTAGGCCTATAGGTTATCATATTTTCTGAGTTTAGGAAGTAAACGAGTCTGAATAGCCTCTAAATAGTCTACACCACGACTATATTTGCTATTCTGAGCAATGTTCCTATTTTGTATTTACGCAAGCTAGAATAAAGATATGAGCTGGCAGAAAAGCATGTATGCTTTAAGAAAGCTAGGACTTTGTAGAAAAGCTATGTATATATCAACAAATTCATGCCTATAACCATTATAGCTAGATACCTCGTAGCCGCACCCACGTGATAATTTTCCCTGCAGAAACCGGGTTGCTCTCGAGTCTCTAACTTCTCCGGGACAACATTCACGTGATTACACGACTTCCGACCACCCGGGTCAGTCAACGAACCTCGGTGAAACATTTCCAATATTAGCCGAAATAGCTTGAAACTCAGATTCAGTATTAATTGGGATTTCAACTACTTGCATCTCCGATTTCTGCACTTAAAGTGTTCAGTTTAGGAAATAAAAACTGAATGTAAACTTGGTGGTTTCCAAGCACGTGATAAACTTTGTACTATAGTCGTTATATCCTCGCGCGCCCCAACCGCTCTCGCTAGCGCTTGCAGGTGCTCCCTACTGCTACTGCCCCGGCCCCGCTAGCGCTCGCACCTTGCCGCCCCAACCTCGCTATCACTGGCTATCGCTCGCTATCTCTCGCACGCCTACCGCCACACCCTACCAGCCCCTACAACAGCCACCATTGTCACCAATTAGTGTCCACCACCACCACTATCATGCTGATCAACTTCTTCAAGGGACACCCCACCAGGCCGCTTCTCCCCACCAAGCAAATTGCTGCCGCCTACCAGCGCGTGTTGCTCGACTCAGACTACTTGTCGTACGACAACGACCCCTTGAACCAGCACCCCTTGACCTACGGAACCGATCCTGGAAACTTCGACGTCAGAACCGCCATTGCCAGCTGGAACAACCGCGTCTTCAACACCGACAAGTCCAGCGCCCAAAACATCAATCTCACGGGAGGCGCTTCCTATGGGATTGCCAACATCTTAGCGTCCACCACATCCCCTGAAGTGACCAGACGGGCGTTTGTGGTCAGTCCCACTTACTTTCTCATCAACAGCACCTTCGTGGACGTGGGACTTGGCGACAAGCTCACGGCTGTGAGAGAGACCCCTGGCGCCCACTACGAAATCGACTTGCAACACTTGGAGCAGCAGTTGGAGCGCTACAGCCAGGGCCTCGAGCTGGGCGCTGGCGAGATCAACATAGTCAGCGACCCTCTCCGTCCCGCACGCAAGTTGTACAGGTTCGTGATCTATCTCGTGCCTACGTTCTCCAATCCTGGAGGGTTGACGTACTCGGTGGCGACTCGCCAGCGCTTGCTCGAGTTGGCGCGCCGCTACGACATGTTGATCATCAGCGACGACGTCTACGAGTTGTTGGACTACTCTGGCGCGTCCCACCCACTCCCACGCTTCAACTATCTCGACATCGCCACCTTGCCTGCCCACAAGACGTTCGGGAACACTATCTCCAATGCTACTTTCTCCAAGATCATTGCGCCTGGTTTGCGCGTGGGGTGGCAGGAGACTGCCACTCCGTTGTTGGTGGAGCAGTTGGCAGTCACGGGTGCCAACAAGTCGGGCGGTACTCCTGGCCAGTTAGCATCGTTGGTGGTCAAGGACTTGCTCGACACAGGCGCTTTGGACACCATTGTGCGCGACTTCAACAAGGTGTACCAGGCCAGAGGTAAGAAAATTCTCCAGAGCTTGGCCCAGCACTTGCCACAGTCCACGGTGGTGTACGGAGGCAAGGGTGGCTACTTTTTGTGGGTGGAAATCCAGGGAGGAAGTGACTTTGACCACTCGCGCGTGGTCAAGCTCTTGCAAGAGAAACACGGGGTTGTTTTGGCGGGAGGCGAGCACTTCGAGGTGGTTGGCGATATCCAGAACTGGGGAAAGAACTCAGTGAGACTCTCGCTCAGCTACTTGACGGAAGACGAGATCGAGAAGGGTATCAAGACGTGGGGGGAGGTGTTGAAGCAGGAGCACCCTGAGCTTTATGTTTGATAGTCCATAGAGGTCCATAGAGGTCCATAGACAATAGAAGAGTAGAGGATCAGTGTGAGTTGAGAGTGATACTAACGCTAGTCAGAGATTCAGAGTGATACTAATGCTATTAAGAGATTGTGAGTAGTATTAAGGCTAGCCAGAGACTCAGAGTAGAACTATATGTGATAACACTTGACTGATAATTAAAAAAACTAATGAATAAATCTTAAGGCGGATTGAGGGGCCCAAGATTGGGAGAAATTGCGAGTAGTAAGTGATTAATCTTTCACTGATAATATTATACAATAATCCAAATACCCTCTGGCTTACGGATTGAGAGCACCACTATTAATTTGTGTTTGATGAATAAAAATTAGAGAATTACTTTTCAGGCGGAAGGAAGTGGACCAGTAAGGCATAGAGAATCAGTGTAACGACTTAGAGTCATTCGGGCCAGTAAACTTCTGGTGCTCAACTGTTCACTAAGATATTGAGAGCATTAATATTAAGTGCCAGACAAAGTACTGGGCAAATTGAGAGGACCAGTTCAGGAAGTGAGGTTAGGTAGAGATCGAGAGAATCAGACAAATGGTAGAGTAAGCGTTGTATTAGCGAGTCCAGGGCATGATGGGCTACTAGTCCTCAGGCAGTGACTGAGAGGATCGTACCATGCATGGGGAGAACCAATACTGGCAGCTTCAATACTACGAGCCTGTCAGTGAGAGACCAACTACGTCAGGAAGTGAGTGCACCACTACGTGGCTAGGGGAGGGCACTACGTAGTGAGAGACCAACACTACTTAGGACTCTGCACAGCTGGAATCACTATCCAGGAGGTCTCTGGAGATGAGATACCAGACACTTGTCTTTAGGATATTACTCCATCGTCTATTGTTAGTATGTTCGTTGATAGATATCTTGCTCAGCGTAGATCTTGGTGTAAACTTTTTCTAATCTCATTGGAGTCGATTACAGTTTTGTCATCAGTATGCAAGGGTATTATCGTGGCACTTACAATTTGTGTTGTTCACGGTGAAAAATCTGAATGGGGACCACCGCCTTTTTATATTCCCAGCGCGGGTTACCCGGATCTGGACCAGGGTTTTGCAGCCTACACCCCAGAAGCCACCCGCTGTTGAAACGCTATTGATCTTCTAAGGGGTTATGTTAGTAGTAATTACTCCTGGGACGCAGTTAGGACTATGGGCTATTGGCAGTTGTATTCACGCAAGTTAGTTTCATAATTGCTAATACAGCTACCAGGTATCTGACACATGTTTGACTAGGTTTTATGTCTATTCGCTTGACAGTTTTCAAATGCAACCACCAGAAGTTAAATTGTCTTCGCTCACATGAAATATGCATAAATAGGGTGTTTTATACTTCAATGCCTGTTTGACAGATTTCTGCATACAACGGCAAGAGCAATGGGGCTAACCGTTGCTTTACTGTAGAACAACATGGTATACTGAAAAAGGGGCAATGGACCTCTTTTCTGTTCCCTAAATTGTTTAATAAACTCGAAACATAAATTTTGATTGTGCATGCTCAGTTGGATCCCCAAAAATGGTGATATGAAAATAGTTTAGTTGATACGGATTCGAAGAAATCGAGACTTTCTGAGGGCGACAGGCCAATTCGTGCAGTCTACTCTATTATTACGATTGACTGAGCGATGCTCGGGGTAAGGGTTTATTTGACACCTTCCGTCCATACTGGAGACCATGATCTAATGGCCTGGAAATAACAGCAACAGCACACACAGAACAGAGTATGGGCTGATACAGGGTAGGATTTGTTCGCATCCTTAAAGGGAGTGTTTAGTATCATTTATTCAATAAATTTGTTTTGGAATAGATATGTTAATGGTCGGCTAGAACTCATTAAATTATATTAATTTCCATCATTAAGTACATTTATAGTTGATGACCTGCTGACCAAACTAGCAGAGGTGACTTATAGTCGGGGCATGGAAAGTTTTAGGAATAACTCGTAGTGGACCATATTTCTCGAAGTTAAAACTAGCGAAGGACTTTGCTGGTGATCTCCAACTTTCCAAATATTCTTTAGTCGTTCTTGAGCAATAATGGATTGAGCTCAATTTACCACTAGCTTGAGCTGAACCCGAATTCTAATAAATTATTCGATTTTTGGAATTGTTTTCACATCCAATTCATCCGTTGAGCACTTCCAATGAGATTGCTCATCATTATTTCAGCTGATAGTGACGTTCAATTCAAACAATACTTCTGGCTTTCTTGCGTGCCAACTTCACCTTATCGGCAGTCCTGTCAACCTCGTCGTTGAATTGGTCCAATAATTCATTCTGCTCCCCAACCTCCTGGTTGATGGCCTCTCCAATCTGTCGCTGCCGTTGTATTATCTTGCGAAGCTGCTCTATTTCCTGGTCCTGTTTCTGATGGACCTGGACCTGTTGTTGCAATAGCTCCTTGTTGTTGAGGCCCAAGGTTTCTGCGGTTTCTTGCGGTTTTCCAAACACTCTTCGAGCCTGTGGAGGGCCCAGAACCAATGCTTCACGCTGAACGGCTTCCAAGCTATCAATTAAGCCGTTTAAAAGGTTTTTGACCTCGGACAACTGGCTCTGTCGTCTTCCATGTTCATGCTTGGATATGTTAAGCCTGTTTAAGGAATTGACGAGGTTCACAAGACATGGCTGGTACACCTTGTTGAACTTCTCTCTCAATTTGATCTTTTCTGCCAACGAAGGAGCGGAATTCTGGTCGTTAATCTCCGATTTGAGGATCCTCACGATCTCCAACCAGTTGTTCTCGTCTATGGCGTCGCTTTGGATGAACAAATCCGCCTCCTTTGTGCTTCCACCTTGCTTGGATTTGAAGAGGCTCGGGGAAAACTCGAAGTTGGGTGGTATCTGCAAGAATCTATGCACTAATGGGAGGTTTTGAACTGACGAATCCTTGATGACTGAGTTGAGGAACTTGGCAAGATGCACTTTTCTTTCCTGGACGATGGAGTCGGTATTATTATTGAACCAGTTGATTCGCTTCGAGGGTAACGGGTACGGAAACTCCTTGACGTCTATTCCGAGCTCGTGGCAAATGCCATTCACGAGCTCCTCGAACTCGGAGTATCTTCTCTTGACGACCAAGGAACGAAGGGGAAGTTTGACAGCGATGTCGTAATAGACGGCTCCGGAGCCGGACGAGGCGGAGGGTATGGCGATGAACTCCAGCATCGTGCATTGGCTGGGACGGTGAAGAGATGTATGGGTGGAAATGGTGGTTCTCGTCTGTGGGGTCACATGTCATGTCACGTGACATGCTGGCGATAAGACGCAGAAGACCACTGACCGGAATTGGCGTGGCACGTGCAGTGACCGGAGTTGCGTGAAGATGCCCCAGTTATCATTGCTACAGGCGTGCATGGTGAAACGGCAGAAACATCACAGTTATTTGGGAGAAGCATCCTTACTGATTGGAAGTCCCGTTTACTGATTGGAACCAGATTACTAGTTGAATCCCATTTACTAGTTAAGTTCCATTTGCTAGTTAAGTTCCATTTACTCGTTGGAACCAGATTACTAGTTCAATCCCATTTGCTAGTTCAATCCCATTTGCTAGTTCAATCCCATTTGCTAGTTCAATCCCAGTTCTTTGTAATACCCATTCACTGCTTCTATTACTTCCAGCAATTGGAATTAAAGAGAGCCTACTGATTGAAAATACCCAGAATACTCCACCAGTCACCTTTCAGTAATTGACCTCAACTGGAGTACCAATCAGAGTCAAGAGTCTCTATTCCACCCTCCATTCATTGCTAATATCCCCATCAGTTTCTCGATTTTGACCACTCAGGCATCACAACCACCAAGCATCAACCATGGCGTATGACTCAGTAGCAGAAGAACCCGTCGAGTCCTCGTCAAAGGGCCCCAAGTCCATCTCATCCAACAAGTCAGTGAAGTCAGTGGAGCCCCAGCAGCTTTCCAACCCTCCACACTCTCCGGCGTCTGATCTTGAAGACACTCCCCTTCTCCAGAACTCCGGCTCCCAGTTCCTTGACCCAGATGACCCCAGGGTTTCTCCATTGAACCTCTACAAAGTAAGACTCCTCAAGACAGGAGTGGTGAGTCTCAGCATCATTAATCTAGTTCTCTTTCTTGGGTTTTTGTTCAGCGATTTCATCAGTATTCCTGGGCTCAACAACCCAGGAAAGTCATTCTTGGAAATGGACCTTGCCTTGATTTCTATCCTCACCAATCTTTTGACCATCTGGAAATTTGATATTTCCCTGTACTACGAAAGGATCTTGGGGTACGTCAGCAGTGTGTTGACTCTTATTACCTTCGTGGTGGTTTTCTCGGTGCAAACAATAAGAGAAAGACTTGCTCTTCTTGGTGCTTTCATGCTCTTGTGGACTGGTTTGAACATTTTTGTCAACTCGTTGGTGGATTTGGGAGTTGAGAAGGGAAGACATTATCAGGAAATCAGGTTCACTGGAAGAATCGAAAAAAGAAGATCGGTTTACGAACTCTTCATAATGTTCTCCAAGACTTTGGTCAAGCTATTCTTGTTGTGGATCATATGGAATGTAAGCTTGACCTTATGGCTCGAAACATTTGACACACACGAAAAGCCATGGGGAAAAATGATTGGTGTCAACGAAGATCAGTTTAAGGTGCATTTGGCATGTTTTGGAAATGTGTATGATAGTAGCGAAGATGAAAAGCAGCCAATTTTATTGGTTGAAGGAGGTCAGAGGACTTCAGCAGAAGAAACTCAAGAGTGGATTGAGGAGTTGTTCCACTTGAAAAAGATCCACAGGTATTGTGTTTGGGACAGACCAGGATACGGATGGTCTGAAAGTTCCCCTTCACCTGTCTCTATCAATATCATCACTGAATACCTTATTGAGGCATTGAACAAAGAAGGAATTGAGGGCCCATTCAGTTTAGTGGGTTACGATATTGGCGGGTTATACGCAAGGATGTTCGCATCCAAAAAACCAGGAAAGATACACTCGATCTTGTTTGTTGACAGTTGGCACGAAGACTTGCTTAAAATCAGACCCTTCAGTGGTCCTAACCGTAAAAACGAAGACAAGAAAGTATTCAAAAATATCATCGAATTCATGGATACGTGGACAGGAATCAAGTTATGGTTCAAGGGAGTTATCTCGCCATTGGGGTTGGTTCAAAATTTCCACTGGTTCTTCCATCCCAAAAGGTACTCATCCAAGAGTCGTATATTTGGAAGAGACATGAAGTATCAATCTAGATACATTAGAGCCAGACTTCAGGAACAAGTGACTGCGTCTATCTTGTCATACAACGAAATCAAAAATATCGATATCCACAATTTACCAGTAAGTGTGATATCGTCCGACTTCATGATCAAGAACTCCTTGAACTGGGGCAAATGGCAGAGAGAAATCTCGAAGTTGAGTGAGAACACCATTGAATGGGTGATTGCCGATAACAGCGACCACAAGATCTGGAACAACCCCAAGGGAAGGGAACAGTTGCAGCAGTTATTGTTGAGATTGGTGAGCGAGAAGAGCAACTACTAGGATATATTTAGGATGAGATAAAATGTATGGTATTTGACCACTCTGGGAGTAGATCAATTGTAGAACTAGTTTGAAGGCCGAGACCAGCTGTACAAGCTAATTGCGATCAATGTGCTTGACAAGTCAGTCAAGGGTTTTGGTTAGAAAGTTCGGCCAAGCGAGAGAAATGGACAATGGGAATTTTCACAGTCATGGACTAGCTACGAATAGCGCTATATCTCGTGATAATTGGCCACTTCGCTTCGAAATATTTCAATGCCTGACTACAATTCCTAATTTACAAGTCAACACGAGGAGGAATGATAAGATCTGGTATAGAAATTCCAACTAGAGCCACCTCTATTTGATTGGTGTGCAGCAACACCCACTGAATTCAACTCAGTATATATGTGGCAGTAGTGTCTCTGTAGTAAAATAGACACTGTGGGAAAACATCCTATCACCGGTTGGATCTTCACCAGGACTGTTTTTACGTATGAGCCTTCGCTGACTCGACGTTTGATCCCATTACTTGCTTCGCCTTCAATGCGTTTTGCTGAATGCTTGGCTAGTACTACTTATCCCACTGGGTCTGCTATTTCTTCCACCCCACTGGGTCTGCTATTTCTTCCACCCCACTGGGTCTGCTATTTCTTCCACCCCACTGGGTCTACTGATCCACTGTCTACTCGAATCAGAATAACCACAACTATGGGGTGTTGAACACGCCCCCTCCATTGGTCCTGGCATCAAATCCTATCTTGGGCCACTTTGCGCCGATTTATATCCGGTAGGCTCTCTTGAAGTTCTTGGTGCTCTACTGGATTTTGACATTTATCATTTATGTTGAAGTGCAACTGCCCAAACAGGAACACCAAAACCCCATCGGGCTTTGCTGCATGCACCGTTCAATGCACTCGTATCTGCGATGGACTTAGCCGTTTCGCGTACGATGCAGATGAAATTGATCGACAAATCGGACATGGCCGGAAGACCAGAGAGAAGAGATAACAGCAAAGGAACGAAGTGGAGACACGGAAGTGGAGGCAAAAGAAAGCGCAGCCACAGAAGCGAAGACAGCAGGACAAAGTGTGAGGCCATGAAAGTGCTGTGTCCAAATTGTAGGCTTCTTCCAGTTGGTAGTAGTCTCCTGAGTGTTTCGCGTGCGTATGTCAAATTACCGCATTGATCTCGCGACACCACCTAGCGAGAGGTCCGCGCCGAGTGTTGCGACGTTAGGGGGAGCTGTCATGGGGCCAGCGAGCGCGGTAGCGAGTCACGCAGGGGTGCCACACGGAGAGTGACGGTACCACTCCGTGCTTCACGTAGCAGCAGTAGCAATAGGACAGGCCACTACTACGTAGCAGCAGCAGTGGTGGCAGTAGCGGCAGTAGCCTCGTAGTACCAGTAGTACCAGTAGTACCAGCTCGCAGTACCACCGCTCCCCACCGTCCCTAAGCCAGCCCTCGTCTACCCAAACGGACCGCGCACGACCCGCCTGTTTTGAGGCCCAACGCTCCTCCAGAATCCCCACCACTCCTTCTGCTCCACCACCCGGGCCCCCCTCTGTTAGACCCCCTGCTGTGTCTCCTGCTACTTCCTCCAGCACCACGGAACACTCAGCCTCGAAATCCCGCCGTTCTACGCTCCCTACACGCTCGAACACCCCCACAAGACATCCACCCTCTGCATTACCCCCACCACCCAGGCTGCCACTGCCCCCAACGCCTGGCAATCCACCCCTAGACCGTCCCACCATCGCCACCAGGCCTCCATCGCATCATGCAAGAAAGCTCGTCCAGAGACGTGGCCAAACCACCCACGTCTGCTACCTATAAGAACTCCCACAAGACAGCCACGCCTCCTCCATCCAGCATCCCTCCCTCGCCTGCTGCTGCTCCCATCCCGACCCCAGCACCTGCCAGAAACAACTCCATCAATACCTTGAGCAGGAGCATGCTGCAGAACTTGGGTCCTTCCAGCTCCAACCCTCACAGTCACAGCTCGCCTCCCACGTCCACACCCACGGGAACAAGCCCAGCCCAGCCTCCTCCTCCTATTGGTGGCAGGAGGTCGTCGTTTGGGCTCAATTTCTTGAGCAACTTCAACGCCATGCGCTCCAACCACCAACCTGCGTCGCCCCCCACGGATAATACCCACTCGTTCATGTCCAACAGCCCAACCATCGCCAACTTGAACAACTACGCGATGTCCACCACGCTCCACGACGAGGCCGTGGCTAATGCACAGAGCTCCACCACCAACAGCGACTCCGACAACCTCCAGCTCGTGCACAACGAAAGCTTGACGGATCTCAACAACACCACCCACATCGGAGCCACTAATGATAACGACAACGACGCCTCCACCACAAACATAGTTCCTGCCGCATCCAAGTCCGAACCCGAAACCGATCTCTTGGAATCGGAAGAGGACAGGAACGGCATGGACAAGGACGGGTTTTTCTCGGTCAGATTAACCCCGTTGATCGACCACTCGTCCTCGGCCTCGGGGCTCTACTTCTCGCCTGTTATCCGCAAAATCAAGCCCGAGGCTAACATATCCATCGGACGGTACACCGAGAAGAATAAGGCAGCTGCCCATGCGCCACAAGGCTCGTCTGCGCCCATCGTGTTCAAGAGCAAAGTTGTGTCGAGATCGCATGCATTGTTCCAGTGCAATGAGGACGGCCAGTGGTTTCTCAAGGATTGCAAGTCGTCTTCAGGGACATTTTTGAACCACATACGATTATCACCAGCATCACAAGAATCCAGCCTCATGCCGTTAGTGGACGGTGACATCGTGCAGTTGGGCATGGACTACCGAGGAGGCGCCGAGGAGGTGTATAGATGTGTGAAAATGAGATGTGAGTTCAACAAGAGCTGGCAAAGAAAGGTCAACCAATTCAACCTCGAAATCCACAAGAAGTTGAAGAACTTACAGATCAACACAGAAGAACCCTCGGGTGCCAAACAGGTCACCAACCCCATCACAGGGTCCACTGGATCCATGGAAGACCTTGCGGAATGTGCCATCTGCTTGAACAAAATCGAACCGTGTCAGGCCCTTTTCATCAGCCCCTGTTCTCATGCCTGGCATTACAAGTGCATCAGGCCAATCATCATCAAAAGCTATCCCCAGTTCTACTGTCCAAACTGTCGTACCATGTGTGACTTGGAAACCGACCTTGACGAAGATGAATAAGATGCAACTACAAACAGCCCGCTTTTTCTGGTAATGGGCTGGGTATGTATAATAGGAATAGATGAGAGCAAGAACGAGATGTAGGTTTGCTCTTGAAAATAGTTGATTACATTGTTAATTTGGGGCCCTTCATGCATATGCAATCAATAATCATCGTGGTACTTTGATTTGAGTATGCCGGGTTATCCGAGCAATGATCTTGGATCTGTAATCTGAATTGATTACAGGGTTGAATTTGGGATTGTCTGTGAAAAGATCTATGATAATCTTAATATTTTGTGCTGAGGTTTCATGGAAAGATCTTAGATAATCTTTAACATTATTTAACATTATCAATTACGACATCGGATTAAAGTGTGGGCATTGTGCCAAAAGATGTTGGATGGTTATATCCAAATCTGAGATCTGTTCGACGTGTGATGCCTTGCGCCAAATATCTTAGATACTCTTATCAATTATGCCCATGCCATCTTCAACATGTAGATTCATAATGACAGTGGCATTTCCTTCCAATAACAACACATTGTTAATGTGCTCTTAAGTTATATATAATATTCACCTAAAAATTCTTATCATAAAGACATCTGTTTATATGATCGGTGAATTCATCTTATATAATATTATCCAATCTCCTACACTTTGATTCATTTGTACCGAATATTCTAGACAATCTATCCATTTTGGGGATCGTGCCAAATGTTATTTAAGTTTTTTATTCATTTATTAATTGAACAAAACCCTTATTGCTATTAATATGCATTGTATATAAAACAGATGTTGATGATTTTGTCGTCTGGAAAATCCTATTATGACTGTTCATTCCATCTGTCATCTTTTTATGCCGCTGTTTGGGTTCATCTTAGATAATCTTCCAATCTTCTACCCTCTTACTATACTTGCCATCGATCTCTACATCTTCTTGCACACTCGTACATTAATCTATAACCCTTTTCCTTTGCCTTCCTGGCACCTGATTAATTCCACGAAATAGGCGTGCTTCTATTTTCCGACGATGTGGTCGAACTGGTCGAGGTCGAGTCCACGTATTCGTCGTAATCCTTAACCATGACCTGATTGCTTCCCTGATTAGGGTGATGCATCACTTCTACTTGCACCATGGCATTTGAATGGTTTTCTTGCATGGCTTCAAAGTGGAACCCCGGAACCTCGTAGTTGAGTATGCCTCCTACGCCCACAGGGGCCCTGAACTCGTGTCTGTCGAAGTTTTCTGGGGTGAGGATTTCGTCGAAGCTGACACCGAACGGCTTGTTTGGGTGCATGGAGGGCATGCAAAACGCCTTTGTGATCTGGGTGAACGGGGACCCCTGGGCCAGTTCGTCCAGCGAGGGAGGCTGGTCGTGGTGGTTTTGGAGGTTTTGGAGGTTTTGGGCACTCTGCCCATTTTGGAGGTTTTGGGTATTCTGCCCATTTTGGAAGTTTTGGGCACTCTGCCCATTCTGCACGTTTTGGTGTCCATTAGCCTGGCTTTGGTGTCCATTTGCCTGACTTTGCTGTCCATTATCATTTTGCCCATGTTGCCCATCGGGCGACTCGTCGCTCTCCTCCACCTCGGAAATGTACCCTGTCCGGGGCACCTGCAAGCTGGTGGCCCTGGAGTTGGCCACTATGAAGTGCTTGATTTTCTCGTACTCTCCCGTCGGCAATGTCACGTCGTTTTTGAGCTTCGAAATGAGCGTGTAGATCTTGTTGAGGTGTTGGAAGCCTACATGCGACGGATTCAACTCGTTTTTGAACCCAATGATGCTGATGGAGTCGATGAGGCCCTCGGCCATGCCGATCAACTTGATACACACGCCCGGGCCGTTGGACTCGAACGCAAAGAGCGGGAGGTCTTTGGTGTCGTGCAAAAACTGCTCGGCTATGAGAATGGGGAGAATTGGCTGCAAACTCTCGTCCACGTTGGTGTTGCCAAGCACCAACAAGTCGTTCTTTTTGGTGATGTCCCAGGTGAGCGACTTCATCCAGTACTTGCTCAACAAGATGTTGAGCTTCTGGACGTCGGGGATCTCCGTCAAGATCTTGATGTAGCTCAACTGGTGCTGGACGCTGATAATCCAGTTGGCGGAACACCAGCCAGGGGTGGGGGCGCCGCCGGTCAAGAGAGGGGCGCTGGTGCCGCCGCTGGCGGTGTCTGCGGCGCCGACCTTCATGGCGATGATGCGGTCAAAAAACGACTTGTCGGGGATGGAAAACACCCGCACAAGCTGGGTGAAGCCCGTGAGCAAGCACGGGTACTCCTCGTCCTCGAGCAGCGGGTAGGGGATGGACGGCTCGAGGATGATGGGCAAGTCGTCCTCGATGCTCATGAACCGCTCGGTCACCAAGAGGAGGAAGTAGATCTTGCGCAAGCGGTGGGTTTCTGCAGGCAGCTTCCTGTGGTACATGCCTTCGCTGTGCATGCCCAACACCTGCGCCATGGTGATGGCCTCGCGCAAGTACATGATGGCGGACGCCAGACACCCTTTGACGTTGACGTGGTACACGTAGAGGAAGAACGAGGTGAGCAAGCTCTCGGGCGACGGGTGGTGGCGGTAGTTGTAGAAGTTGCGTGCACGCACGGCCTCGTCCACCAAGTAGGGGAGGTCGAGGTCTGGCGGTAGCGAGATGAGCGCGTTGCTGGTGGTGATGAAGGTGGCGTGGATGGCGATGGCTGCAGACAACGCACACGCCAACGAGTACGCCTGGATGTTGTCGGTGGTGTCGAAGCTGGCGACCGCTGCAGACGCGCTGGACGCTGTCACCAACCGCAGGATCAACTGGGCCACGCTTACCACCGGCCACACCCCGTAGTACCACGTCTGGTAGATCTGTAAGCATGCGAGAAGCTTGTCCATGGGAAGCGTGGGCACGAAGGTGCGCCTGGTGGTGGAGAGCGTTCCGCTGCTGGGGTCGTCCAGGGCGTTGCGGTAGATGGCCTCCCTGGTCTCCTGGCGGAGTCTGGCGCCTCCCGACCGTTTGCGCTGACGCTTGTTGGTGCACGGGAGCGAGAGCTTGACGCAGCGTGAGCATGGTGTCAACTGGTCACATTTGACCTTGCGGAGCAGGCATGCGTCACAGGGGTGGGTGTACTTGGGTCTGGTCTTGGGTCGTTTTGCTGGTTGTGTGGATGACGGCGTGCTGGGGGTGTCGTCGGTGGGGAGGGACGACCCGGGGGTGGCCTGGGGGTCGGAGTCTCGGGATCCAAGATACGAGGGTGTGAGAAGCATGGCCATGTTGGTGAGCGAGGGCGACGTGGATATCGACATGGTGGCTTGTCGCTGCCCAGGAACTGGAGGGTTGGAGTGAATGGTTGTGATGATGCTCACTGTCTGTCGGAGCGCGGGCGCTCTGCGAAGGATCTACATATGAGTCGTAGTTCCTGTGGGGAGCTCGCATGCAGGGGAGGCCTGCGGCGCATACGGCGCTCGGGCCTCCGGTTGTTGGGCTCGCCAGCGGCAGCCTGGCAGCACGATGGCTGCAGTGTGTCAGCGCAGGCTGCAGTGGTACTGGGGGGGACGATGTGTCAGGAAAACCTGGCTCGAGGAGGCGGGGTGGTGGGACACCTGCCAGGAAGCCACCCCGTTTACGAGGGGTGCGCATCGATCGGGTCCGATTTTCCCCATTCGAATTAGTGGAGAATCGGCGAATTCTTGACTCCAGCCACCTGTGGGTCTTAACACCAACATGCAGGCTGGGCGCTGACACACAGCTGGAGGTCAGTGGTTGTGGTTTCACCGTACTTTATACCTTCTTTCTCCAACTTGGCAGGTAGTTACACCACCACTCTGCCTCTGCCACACCGTCTGCTGCGCTGCACTACTCTCTCTCTCTCTGCACATGCTCCGGATGCATTTACGATGCCACTTCATCCCTTCGCGCATGGTGCTAATTTGCGAGCCACGCAGCTGGTGGCTGCCACCGTAAAGCTATCTGACAAAACTCCCAATCATGACACTATGAGGCGGCCTCGAGCGCGATGCTTCTCCATTTCCAGCAATTCCTGCAATGTCAGCTATACGCCTGGGGCGTGCCTCCGCAGCATTCGGCGACGGAAATAATTACCAGTAGCATCCAAAAAAAAAGCCCGATGCGGGGGTCGAACCCGCAACCTTTTGATGTCCAACTTAAGAGTCAAACGCTCTACCGATTGAGCTAACCAGGCAAGAAAGAACAGCCCGATGCGGGGGTCGAACCCGCAACCTTTTGATACCTCAGAATAAGAGTCAAACGCTCTACCGATTGAGCTAACCAGGCTTTCTTGCCAACATAAAATTAGCGTAGGAACTCAGTTGTGTTGAGCTTATGTAAGCAGGGTCAGGGCTATATTTCTCAGTTTCGGCAACCACTCTCGCTAGTCCTAGCAAGCGGGTAAAAGAGTCCAAGGAACAGGTGCTTGTTCCTAGAAGTTGGTCCAGCATCTTTCCTCTATAGGTGCAGCACGATGGAAAGCCCCAGGCTACCAGACGAACTTCCTAGAATACTAAGATTAGTTGCTTCCCTGGAGCAGATCGATACTACCTCAAATTGGACAGGTTGATCAGGAGTATTTAAATGTTTTAGATACAGCGGCGAGTACAAGGGGAACCCGAGATCGTCCTCCAAACCACCAACCAAATGTATTTCCAGTCACTGCTATTAAATCAACTAAAGGCACCAATAAACTAATAAAAATCCTTCTCTACTACCAGGGATGTCAGAATCGAAAGCAGAATCAAAGCCTTCAGTGAAAGAGAAATGGAACAAAAATAACTGATGTATCAAGAATGAAGATGAACAATTAAAGAGTTAAGAGATTAGTTTGAGAAACACAAGAATACCCTGGAAAAGTTGGAAAACCCTATCAAGTGATTCAGGAAGTAATCTAGGGGCTCAATCTTGCACTTAATGGTCTGTTCTTAGCATTCCCCATAACTGAAGATCTATAACTATTGTACTACGGTTAAAGGAAGGAATTTCAACTCTAACATGATTTTCAACTACGGGGGTGTTCATTCCGCGCACCAAGTAGCCAAATGTATAAAACAGTTTGAACATAAACTCAGTGTTTTTTGGATTATAAACCAACAGTCATCTAGCGAGTAGATAATATTTCACTTCCCCTTAGTTCAGTAGCGAAAAAAATAGTGTATTCCGCATTCTAGATGTGGCAAATTAAGAGACCGGTTTCTCGTAAGTAGTAGTCACCCACAAAGCTGGATGAATAGTAAAGGCTTCCATACTGTACCTTCCTCTTAGCTAAGTCTCACGCCTATTAAGATCACTTACTCAAGAAGCTCCGTTCAATCAAATTTTTTACTAGTAAACATGTCCGAGTTAAGTTGAAGTATTCAATTCCTATCATTCTATCTCAAAGATTCCACCTCAAGCTACTCTTCAGGCTGCACCAAGACAATTCAAACAAACCTTTGAGTTAGTCTTAGGCGAAAAAAAGTAGCTATTAAGAATATGCACTATAGAAAAACGACAGGAGAATTACTTCAGCAAATCCCTCAGGATCCGGAAGAAAATGACTCTCATGAGTAAGGAACATCAATATCTGGGGTTTCAACCCTCTATTACTGACACCACAACTGATAGAGATATCACTTGATTATTTTATGCTACACCTAGAATCGTGGCGCTTCTCGGCGATTTCAAGAAGCTGCTGGTAATCAGAGCTGCTAGTTAATTGGGCAGTTTTGCACAAGATCTTAATTACCGGATGGGCGGTCTTTCATTTCTAAAACCTTGGAAATTATTTACTGACTAGATATACTACAATAAAGTTCGAAATAGCCATCTGAAGCATAATTACCAATGGAAATTCCATATCCATATAATGACCTTCATTCGGTAACTGTATCACATATGCATTTCAATGAAAAACCCAGCAACCTAATTGATTAGTATAGCTTCGAATAGAATCCCTCTCCCAAAAATTAAGTGCTTATATTCCTATTTGAGGCATTTAACTACATATGGTAGTGTTTCAAAAAGGTTTCTGATTAATATCTTCAATAGATCCTCCTTTGGAAAGGTGTAGGTTATTTTTAGTTTTGCATAATTACCGAATCAAAATAGTAAAAGCCAAACAATGCAGCCCTATTGAAGATAGTACAGTGTCGGGCAACGGGGTTAATCTAACACAGTTCCTCTGAACTGCTTCTTAGTACTTGAACGGGTAATTCTGATAACAATTTAGCGACGCGCTTAATTAGCCACGTGCACTGACATGCATATGAATCAATAATCAGTAAGATAAACGACTGGCACTCACAGCAAACCACCTAGCTGTAGAACACTTCATGGTAGCCATATCAAAGATCCTCAACAATGGGTTACTACTAGTACCCCAATCAGTTTATGAAAGCTTGGCTACGCCAGAACAGGCCTCTGTTGAGGGTTACAACATTATCAACTTCTTGGGAGGTTCTGCTCCATATAAACAGCGTACCGGATATGGAATATCGACAGAGATACCCAGAGAATGCAAGTTGCACCAAGTGCAGCTTTTCTCGAGGCATGGAGAGCGGTATCCATCGAAAGGTGATGGTGTTCAATTCGAAAAAATTATGGACCAATTCCATTTATACAAGCAACCGTTCCAAGGGGATTTGGCCTTCTTGAATGAATATAAATACTTTGTGGAAGACCCCGGTAATTATGAACAAGAAACAAGCACTACTAACTCGGCCGGAATTTTTGCCGGGACCACCGATGAGTTGAGACATGGAGCAGTATTCCGAACCAAGTATGGTGGATTGTTCGATACTGATAAGGTATTGCCTATCTTCACTACCAACTCAAGAAGATGCCATCAAACATCCGAATTCTTCGCTAGAGGTTTTCTAGGAGATGAGTATACAGGGGCCAAGGTGAAGTATGTCATCATCGACGAAGATGGTAAGATGGGAGCAAACTCATTGACCCCTAGGTATGGATGTCCCAACTTTAAGGATGATGTGAATAAGGACATGGTTTCAAAGTACGATAAGTCGTACTTGGATAATATCTTGGCTAGATGGGTGGCCCAAAACCCAGGATCCGATTTCACACCTCAATATGTGGGCTCATTATTTCTTTGGTGTGCATTTGAAATCAATGTTAAGGGACATTCCCCATTTTGCAATTTATTCACAAATGAAGAATATATAAGAGAGTCTTACCGGAATGACCTCGAAAATTATTATTCAATAGGACCAGGCAACGACTTTGCAAAGGTTGTAGGTTCTCCAATGTTAGAGTCAGTCCTCAAGATACTCAAGGATGAACATGCTGAAAACAAGATATGGCTTTCATTTACTCATGACACCGATTTAGAATTGTTGTTGACTTCCCTTGGACTTTTAAACGAGAAAGGAGATTTACCTATAGATGAAGTATTATTTCCAAATTCTAATAGTGCTGCAGAATTATTACCACAAGGAGCTAGAATATATATCGAAAAGTATGGTTGTGGGGAAGCCAACTATGTTCGCTTCATCATAAACGAAGCCGTTTTCCCAATTCCTAAATGCTCAGCTGGACCTGGATTCTCTTGTGAATTCAAAACATTTATCAGCATAATTGAGGAAAGACTAAAAGGCATAAATTACCATAATCAATGCGGCCTGGATTCAGAATCGCCCAGTGCACTAACGTTTTATTGGGATTACAATAAGGTTAACTACAATGCAACACTAATCAATCAATAATGAATTGTATATGGTATTGAGGCCTGGTGCTATCAAAATACATCAACCACGGATATTCGAGAAGTATCCTAAATAGAGTTTAAAACTAACTGGTAAATTTGAACTAAATTCCGGGCAACCCGTACATGCTCATCTCGCAT